AGATATATTGACGACCTCAGCTTGGCTCGTCGATGATGTAAGTGTATTATGTTTACAGAAGTTGTTGGTTTATTTATTATGATATATTGACAATTGGTACGCGATCAGGTTCGGAGACACCCAAGATCTTTTGACATTCCCGATTGAGTTATCCTGAGCTCCGAGTTTGCACAGGCCGTTAAATATTGAGCATAGCATGCTCCTACATGACGGGAATAGATATGCGATGCCCGAGTACATGCTGTAGTCGGTTATTGAGCTGGAGCCGACATGCAGAAAGCCGTGGACGGATTGTACACATATATAAATTCAATGATCGAGAACACACACACTGATTCTCACTGGAGGTCGTATTTACTGATTCCACTATCTATGTGAATGACTTCGGCTATAGCTGTCTGACACAAAATCAATTGGAGCAAATACTGAAGCCAGTGACTATGATCATTCCCCTTATGGCTAGACATGCGATGATTCGAGTAAATGACAGATTAGCTGTTGTGTGGAACATGACGACAGCGAGACAAGGAATATTGTAAGGATTTACCAGTTTTTAATATGAAAATCTATTTTTTAACTACATGGCTCGAGCTGATTTATTATTATTTACTTATAGGGCGATTGCAATATATTAGTAATAAAATATATAGAATTTTTGAGTATTGATCACAAAGTTGATACAATAAAACTATCTTGGATAAATATGTGGATGTTGAAGTTAGTTTGCAATTTGTATGAATACAATTGTGATCCATAAATATTTTATACGTTGATTTTTTGTAATTACGATGTAATTGTAAATGTTGTCAAATTTTTGTAAACATTATATGTTGATTTTTTGTAATTATGAGGTAATTATAAATATAATCAAATTTTTATAAATGTTATTCGTAGAAATTTTTAATTATGAGATAATTGTAAGTATTGTGAATTACGTTGATTTTTTTAATTACAAGATAATTGAAAATATTGTCAAATTTATGTAAAATAATTAAAATAATGAATGGAAAATTAAATAACTCATTAACCATAAAGTAAATAAATATAGTAGTTAAAAAATACTACGATTCAAACCATCAATTTGAATTTAAAGTAGACGTCCAATGCAATGACTTTTATAAATAGTAAATATTACATATCAAACAGAATATGAAAATAGCAAATAAATTTTAAATTTTATTATACATCCATTGAGTAGTTATGTAATGGAATATGACTGGTACAAAATCGACGAGTGCCTTGTCGTGTCACACCTGCCGTACTTACGAGGTTGAGAAACTTCTCCAGTAAATGGTAGTCTAGACGTGCGTGTACTCCTGGAGTACGTGGTCTGGCTCCGGGTGACAACACATTATTAAGTAGGAGAATGTGGTCAAGAACTTCTCAATCAGCCTCATTTGGTACATGATATATCGTTTCAGCATATGATGCTCTCCAATAATCAGCCATGTAATAGTAACTGCATAAGGTATGTGCTGGAAATCTTCTATGGATAGTCACTGTCACTGCATGCGTACATGGAAAACTTTCCAACTGGAACCGTCTACACGTGCACGTGTTATCATTCAAGTCCATTATATATCTGATATTACGTCCACATCTCACGGAGAAACAAAACTGGTCCAATGGTTTCACGTATATATTTCTCGCCACCTCCAATGTCTTGAAGAGCTTATCTTCTTGAACCGGGGTTAACATACTTGTGTAACTTTGTGATTTCTCACGTCGATCATGAAACCACTGCTATAGCTTGTTACAAATGTGCTCAATCATTGCAAGAATTGGTAATTCTCGATCCTTCTTGAATAATGTATTGAGCGACTCCACATTGTTCAACATCATCATATTGTATCGACGTCCTAAAAAATGTAATAGTGCCCAGTGTTCGATCTCCATATCTATTAGATACTCCCATGCAGCATGTGATTTACTTTTTATTTCGATTATGGACTTATCAAACTCTTCAAAACTATAAGCCTCTGCAGCTTTCCTAAACAATGCAACGATGTTGATTCCCCGATATTTAGTCTTCAGGTTGTCCTGTATATGATACATACAATAACTGTGATGTACCTCGGGAAAGACTTCGGCGATATCATTTATTATTGACTGTCCCTTATTAGTTACGAATGCAAAATTCTTAACGTCCTCAATCATTTCTCGCAACTTCGTGAAGAATCAATGCATCGCTAGGTCATTCTCTCTGTCGATTATGCCAAATGTAAGAAAGTAAACTTGAATGTCAGCATCTCGACATGTTGCAATTATCAACCTGTCTTCGTATCTAGTCTTAATTGTTGTACTATCGACTAGAATTAGAGGTCGCATCGCGTTTTGAAATCCTTGAATACATTGACCAAGGGCCATGAAAAAATACTTGAAGCGATTCTAGCCATCATTCTCAATAAAAAATGTCGATCTAGGATTAGTTCTCCTTATATCATAGCAATACCTAGCCAATTTAGCATAACTGTTCTTGACCGAACCCATTAAGTCCTCAAATGCACATTCATTGGCCTTCCAGACCTTTTGATAGCTCATGACCATCCCATACTCTCGACAAACATCATTAATAATGTCCAAAGGTCTATAAATCGTTCGTGAGTCCTAAAACTTGTGCATCATTTGATGACCAATGAACCATGATCTGGCTTATCTGTGATCATTTCGACAAATACCATCTTCGTAAATATGTTTCCATGCATATTTACGAACTATAAAGAACTCATTTGTGTCCATCTTCGTCGTCCGCAAGCGCCAATGGCAATAAATGTCAACGCAAATAATTGTGTATGTTGACTTGTTTGATTTTTTCACTTCAAACTCAAAGTTGTATTTCAGAGCTATCCAATAAACAGCTTCCTGCAAATCTTTCTTTGTTTCAAAAAATTGCTCGATATACAAATATTCATTATCGAGAACTACACACGAACAATTAGAGGACCGTGTACTCGTTCCAAACTGTGAGCTCCCCCCGACTCATGTCTCTGACGAGATAACGTAATCAAATTCTCATTGACAAATTCATTTTCATTAACTCTAACTGTCGAGGGAATTCTGTGCATAATAGTGAGGTCACGGTGAGAAGCAACTGTTTCAGGAATAAGAACATCATCTTCACGAACTATCTCCACTTTGTCCCTAAAATCATTCACATTACGATCCCCTCCATCGAAATTTTCATGTTTCACCATTGGGGTTATTCTTCTCTGCTAAAGTTATTCAAATAGGAGTTGCGCGATTCTAGTTCAATTAAATTAAAACCTTCATTTCAACTTCAGAAGTAACTATTATAGGTTTAATTGAAATTGACGCATGCTTGCTGAATAAAAATCTCAATTCTGTGTTGTATTAAGAGGGATCGACGCCGAGCATGTTCTGTAATTCATTATACATTTCTGAATATGATGTACTAGAACTTATGATAATTGCAATATCACCACATCTTTCGTTCATCCATTTCCACACCCAACGTTTATTTTCAATCATTTCAAATTTACCAAAGTAGCAAATTAGAATTATAGTCTATCCCGTATCTGCATAAGGAAAACATAATTTATTAAAAAATATAATTAGGAGATAAAAAAGACTTCAAAAATCGTCCAATTGGATCAAATGTGTCGGAAACAGCAGGCTAGGTCGGGCAAATCCAGATGGACCAGAAGTCAGGGCTGTCTGGTTCCAGCCACCGGGAGCTCATCGTTCTGAGACTTGTTCAGATGAATTTTTTTCGAAAAATTATAGATCTGTCTAAAATTGTAAAAAAATATTAGTTTATGTAAGAAATAAGTTTTAACGATTAAAATAAATTACTAATTCAACGAAAACAAAATTAATAATATGTAAATATACTTACCGATTCGTAGTGTTGGCTAGAAATATTTTTTTTGAGCGTTTGATAAATTTAAGAGATTTCACGGTTGAAGCAGATAAAAAATGAAGTCGTTTCTGTTTGAGTTGGAGTAAACAGATAAACAAAGTGATTTGGTTTTGAAATTTTAAGTGGAAAATTTGTAACCTAAAAGGAAATAATAGTCTTTTAAATAATATCTTTTTTTTTTTTTTTTTTTTTGGTAATTGTGTAACAACTTAAGAGTATTTTTATCTTTTACATCTTAAGAGGCCATTGTGATGAATGGCCAAAAAAAAAAAAAAAGGTCCAAATTAAAATTGGTTAATTTGACATGGCCAAAGTAAAAGGTACCATCTTGACTGCACGCTCCCTCCATTCTTTCTCTTTAAACAATTCGAACCCACCTCATGTAAACCTCTCTCACCTCTCACAGGGTTGCATTCCACACCCTCAGCTTCTCCAAATCCATGCCCGTATATTTAGGGGCGAATCCAGCATTGTAGTTCAGCTAAGGCGGAGAGATTGACCGCTGATCCGTGATCGTTGACAATCAACGATAGTAAATATAATTCAATACATATGTAAATGTACTAAAATATAAAAAGTATATACATATGAAAATATAAATCAATACAACTCAAAATACTAAAAAAAAGGTACGATACTATAAACTTAGACAACAGCATTCTATGGGGTCTCATAAATTCTCAAATCACCAATCAAATATTATGAATGATAAATTATAACTCATAACTCATACAACATAAATTATTTATTATAAATCACAAATCACAATTCTCATTTATTCATCATACAGGGACCTCACCTCAATGCCAAAAAAAAATTAAAATGAAGACAAAAGTGTGATTAACCTCAAGAATCAAGACCGGTAGTAATTTTCCCAGTTAACATAATCTGTATGAAAATTAAACATAAATTAAAGTTAATCTTAAAGACATAAACTATAATCAATTTCCAACACAAATTGAACATTTCTCACAAATCATAAAATTCCCAATTCACATATTTACAAAATTTACAAATTCCCCAATTTTCATAAATCATAATCATCACATTTAACATAACAATCAAATTAAATCATCAAAATCAAAAAGAAAAAAATAAAATAAAAGCCAGAATAGCTCACCAAGGCAAGGAGTCGCACTCGCAGCCATCGACGTCCACTCAACTCTCAGGATCGCACCACTCCATCGTCCACCTCCTCGTTGCTCACAGCTCACCGGTCATCAACTCACCATCCACTCAACTCGCACCACTTAGCCAGGCACCAGTCCACTTCAGCAGTTCCGTTCAGCCCTTGGTTGATTGGTTTAAATTTTGGAGTTTGGACTCTTTGAATTGGTAAATGCAATGGAAACATATCCACTCCAACCGTCCATTAATTTCAAGGTATTGGGCCATTGGATTTGGGCCTTAATTTTTTTTAAAAAAAGGCCCAAAATGTGGGGAGAGTAAGCCCAATTTCCTAGCATCATCTTCTTCATCTTTGCTTTCTTTAGCCTCTACAGCTCTTCCCGGTGGACAAGCCTGCTAATGACTGCAATAATGAACATTACGGCGGATCCAGCTAGGACGGCCTTCATAGCTCGTCAGTACCTAGGTCCGCTACTACCTAATAGTATGACTAAATCTTCCACGCCTAGCATGCAATAAGGATTCAATACCTTACACCATGTGGTTGGTACTTCGGAGTCCACCTTCAATAGCTCAATACGTACATTTTCGGCCACTTTGTAGTTTCAGAGGCTAGAAGTGTGCAATAGTTGCCTTTTTAATCAAATAAATGTTTAACTATCAAAAGTCAAAAGTTTGACTAGAATGAGCTAAATCCATTTTTATGTTCTCTTTTTGCTTTACATAATACAAGTTTTTCCTCCTTTCAATCCTGGTAGTGATGGCAAAAATTTTCATCCTGTCCTGTATAAAGAAAAAATAAATTAATAAAAAAATAATTGGGGTGGCAAACGGGGCAAGCTGCTGCCCTATCCCGTCTAAGGCGGGGCATAACGGGTTCAAGGCCATCACTATCGGTAGCAGTTTTTCACTATAACAAATCAATTTTTTGATTATTATTTTATTATTCCAGCCATCATTTTTAACTTTTTCACTCACAGGTGAGACCTTTTTTTTCTCTAACAGTAAAAAAATCAACTTTCATAATGACTACCGAACAGGTCATCAATCTCTTATGCAAAAATTATACCCTTTCCATTTTTTTTTTTGTATTAAAAAGTTGAGTTGTGCTATTCGTACAGACTCATTTGCACAGAATCTGTACAGATGCTCTCACATGGGGGTGGATCCCACACATGGGATCCACCCAATGTGAGAGGCCCTGTACAGACCATGTGCAAATGGGTCTGTACAAGGAGTTTATTCCTAAAAAGTTCTTGAGTTTTGTTATATCTTCTTTGCATGGTCATTTTACTTGTGTACTGTAGTTCAACAACCTGACGAGAATGAATGATTTTCTGTAATTTAATTTAATTTTAATTTTTTTTGCTGCGTCAAACCAAATATATTTGGACTAAAAACATTCTTTTAATATCATTTGTGTCATTTTTGTTGTTGTTTGGCAGTTCTAGGGCAATGCAAAAATTGCTAGAGCATCTTACAACCCCAGAGTCCATGCCTCCATTGTCATGTGCAATATGGATTTTTTTTCTCAATTTTCGAATAAATATTTTATGTGCAATATTATTATGCAATACACCTGGATGTATATATACTTTTCTTTGCTTCCCTCAATTATGTACTTGCAAATAATTGTTATTTCATTTAGCATAGCATTTTCAAATGTTACATTATTTTATAGCATATGTCAACATAGCAAACGCCAAAAGTGGACATTATGTTCTACAACAATGTATAGTAACCGCTCCCCGGGATCTTCTTGTACAAGAAATAAAATGGAAAAATAAAATTATATACTTTGAACTAATTAGAATATAATCAACAGTTCAGCTCACCAAACTTTTCTCAATTCTGTGTGTAGAACATTATCTAACGGGTCACGCTATGTGTACACTTTCAGTGTACACAATTCTTTACACCGTTTTTATGTTCAGGGGTATAAGACTTTATGTATACTAAAAAGTGTACATATGAGTTATGATATTAGTACATGATTTTTGTATAGAAAATTTTTCATAGACACAGGTGTCGAAATATCATTCAAAGATGGGAAAAAACATAAAACACAGATGGATATGATTTTTCAATTTCAAAATCCTATATGAATTTTGTAAGTTTTCCCTAGGAAAAATCCGTGTACATGTAATCTTATCCTTATCTAGCAGTCTGTTGTTATGTTTGGGAGACGAGGCTGTGCTCTAAAATAAAGATTTTCTTGGATATCTGGTTGTTGCTTGTAATGGTGTAACATGTATTGACAAATTGCTAATTAAAATGTTTTTTGTAATGGTTTTTCTCTGTGGATTCAATTTTGGAGTTGTCACTGTTCTAATTTTTCCATGAGTTATGTATAGTTTGCATTTTTTTTGAAGGAAAATTAGATCTCTTCCAGAAAAAACCTCATCTCAAATATTTAGTCATTTTACATGAAGGAAAGGAAATAAAGAAAAACATCATAAATCTACCTGGTATGGGGAACTATCAACAACGAATGTAAATAAAAGTTATGTATGAAGATTTGTTCATACTTTTAGTTCTTGCCACCAGAATCGATACAAAAAAGCGACTCAGTTACCACCTGACCAGATTTCTCTGCAGATACCATATTTCCAGCAAAGGGACAGCCAACTTCAAACATAAAATCAGTGGCTTCGATCACTTTGAATAGAGAATAGAGAGGTAACCTCAAAATAGAGTTGGTAGAGCCGTAGAGGATCCAACTGCATTACTATAGATCTGCAAAAAAAAAAAAATTCTGAATTGCTGAGATTTTGTTCTTTGCTTGCCTTTTTTGTTTTGATCCCTGCAAAGGTAGCAAAATCATACAAAGCTCAAACAAAATTTGAGGAATTCATGTGTTTTTACATTTTTCTGTCATTTTCTTATGTAATTATTTTATCAATGTTTTCTATAAAACAAGATGCTTCTATCAGGCCAATTTTATGAATTAATATCTCCAAAGCCATAAATTGAAGGAGTCGGATTGACCTTGTTTTGCGGCATGACTGGCGCACACTGTTTTTTATGATGTTTCTGTAAGTGTTATACCCTAAATCCAATCGATTTGGATTGTAAACACTTTTAATATGTTTAATACATTTAATTTTGGCAAGATTTATTATTTATTTAAATTAATGTTGTGATGAATAATATTAAATAATAGAGTCCGAAAATCCAAGTTTAAGTGATTTGTTAATCACAAGGAGTTGTGATTGTGAGATACAAATTACGTATGATTAGATCTTGAATAAACCGTGGTCGTAAGTAATAACGAGATACGGATATCGTTAATACAGATAGATCATCATGTGTGACATTTCTTACTTGTGAAGTAGGTAGTTGATCTCACGAGTTACAGTGTGGTGACACTTAAATGAACACATGGATGTTTTGTTATAGAACGAAATATTGGAGGCCCTCTAAGAGATTCCACATGGATAACTATCTGAGTGTCAGTGGTTAATCTCTAACGTTCAGTAGTGGAATTGGTCCTATGACTTGAGGTCATCATAGTGCCTTGTATGAGGACAGTCATGCTTTGACGGTGTTGGATGTTGCTCTGTCAAGGGTCGCTAATACAACATCGTTTGGGTATGTCAAGAACCATATGAAGGTTGTGAATGACCAATAGAGGATTTGTCACTCTTAAATAGTAAGAGATTGTGATCTGCATTTCGTTCAATTAAGTCAATAACGAAATCCTTGGCCAAGGTATACATATAAGTCGAAAAAGAGTTTTCGACTCGTATTGACTTAATAGTAGAATGAAAGATATGATCGATAATCGAGATTGACACACTTCCATATCTCGTAGTTGATCGGATCATATTGACGAAGTGATTATAGTTTCATGGTAAACGAATAGTTTTGGTTTTGTCATACCACATGACATTTCCCGTCACGTGTGTTGCCCTGATACATTGCTAGATGTCAATCTGGGACGGCGAGTGTGAATTTGTGATAATTTAAAAGGGTATTTAATTTATCAGTTTTGATTAGATCAGAATAATGTTTCACGTCGTTAGGCATCGTGATCGGGAACCTAATGGGTCGCACACAAAAGAGAATTGGAAGATTGTAAATTGCTAATTAATTAATTTAACAATCGTTGGATAAATTAATTAATTGGATTGATCATTTATATCCCGAATTAATTAATTGGATTAATTAATTCACGGACCGGGTTTAATTAAATGGATTAATTAAATATTTGACCAGACCGGGTCGAACCCGTTTGGGTTTATATAAAGACATGGCTAGGGTTTAAGGTCCATAAGATTTTCATTATTTTTGCTGGCACAAGAGGAAAAACCCTAGCAGTTGCAGTCTATTCTCTGTGTGAATTTCATTTGAGGCTGGACAATTGGACAGTTGTGGGAGACAGATTCAAGTTGCTGGAAAAGAATAACGCAAAGGAGTTTGCAAAAGCAAAAAAAGTTATATTTCTCATCACAGTTCTTATCTAAATACAAAACTGAATCCTGAATGGGAATTGAAACTGTTTATTTCCGCTGTGCATGTTTAAGTAAATTTCCAACAGTGGTATCAGAGCCAACTTTGTATTTGTTAGGAACCGATTTACATGTTGATTAAATTAAAGGTTGATTTAATCATATTTATCCCTAAATCTAGCAATTGTATTTTTTAATTTTATTTATTCAGAATCTGATTTTTAAAAAACACAAAAAAAAAATTGGAACGAGGGCGGGAGCGGCGGTAGCGTGTTGCTACCGGTAACAGTAGCGGCAAGTGCCGCTGCATACTACCAGTGCTAAGGTGCTGCTCTTTGGGCGAGGCAAGAAAAAAAAATTCTAGGGTTTTGGTTGGAGACGGGGGCCTCAATTGCAAATAATGCAATTATGAGCCCCTGGTTGCAATTATGAAAATGAGGTTAGTTTGAGAAATTTTAAAAGGGGGACCTGTTCTACAAATTTTTAATTTGGAAGGGTTTGGTTTTAATTTCAAACTTGGGTCAATCTGTAAATTTCAAAATAGTTTTGAATTTGAATTTTGAAATGGTTTTAAAATTAAATCTTAAATGGGTTTGACCCATAATTTTAATTTTGACCCAGATTTAAATTTTATTTAAAATTGACAACTTTTATATTTTTATTAAAATTAGATTTTAATTTAAATATTTAATTTTGACCCTTAATTGAATTTTTATTTTATTTGGGAGTTTTGTCCTAAATTAAAATATTA